ATATATATATATATATATATATATATATATATATATATAAATTCAAATAGAATTAAAATTTAGAGAGAAAAAAATATAATATATAATATATAATATATAAATATATGTGTGTGCAAAATAAGAAGATCAAATAGCTTTTTTGAATACATTGTATGCATTCCCGAAATCTTTTATCCATCATACAGTTTAGCAAGAAACTGATGCTATTGTTTGTGGAGTATTTGCGATTTACTTTGCAACTCTACTGTGTCATTGCGAAGACCCAAGTCGATAAGCGCATTATGATACATGCTTGATGCGGAATCATGTTGTCACAATTTTGTTGCGACGAGAACTATTTATTATTATTTATTATTCTTTATTATTTATTATTTACTTGACTGTCTTATAGGGGAAATATCCCTGTGACAGATGGGTTCGTGGTACAAAAGTTACACGGCAGTATATAGGAGAAATTACAGTACGTACATAGGTGGTTTCACTAGTCAAGATAAACAGAAGTAGCAAGAGAATGAAGAAAATGAGTTATAATAATGCATAGTTTGTGCCCAAGAGGTAAAGTAACAAAAATTAATATCAACAGTTTATAGTAATTTATACCTAAAATTGCCCATTATCACTGACAGTTGATTGATCAAATGCCCTTTCAAAATAGCAATTAACAGGGCAGGCAATCAGGAATTTAGTGATCAGGTGATCTGGCTTACAGTAAATAGACAGTTGGTTTTCAATAAATGATTCATGTAGTGCTGGGGCGTTAGACAAAAAGAAGAAAATTACTCTGGTATCATCTTTATCAGAAGAATTTATAAAATCAAGGAAGTTAGTCGAGGAGGAGCCACTCAAGCGGGGGCGTATGTATTTCAAGCGGACGGGTTCATAAAAAGGGCACATTCGTAAAAAATGTTGAACAGATTCCCTGGCGCTTACAATTATACGGATTAGACTATCTCAGCTGGGCTTTGGCTTTCACCATGTGCAGAGGGCACCTGCATGAGAGGGCACCTGCGTGAGAGGCACCGGAATTTTATGAATAACTCTTGACCAATCAATCAAGTCTTTTTCTACCAAAAGTCTTTTAAATCTCTCTAGGAGTTCATCTTTGTCCTTGGCCCACCTATC